TAAGTAATCATGAATTCTCTTATCTGAGCAAAGAGTTTCATCCTCACACAGATTTGTTTCCAAGCTGAAGAGCACAGCAGCTAAAGTTTGGTTCTCCTTTTGAGTCCGAAGAACAGTTTGAAAACTGATATACAACGATTTCAATACAGTCTGATAAAGTTTTTTTTTTTTTGTATAAAAATAACATCATTTTAAGATAAGTGTTCAAGTTTCTGAACTTTAAAATTCATAAACATGTACAAATATGTGCTATGCCTCATAACGCCTGCGATGACAATATGACAGTGAGAAAAAATATTTTTCGTACATGTCATGCAAATAACATTCAGACGTTTTGTTAATGTTTAAACACTTTGATTACAATGGGGCCATACTGTCTGATTACTGATTTTATACAGAACTGTTTATATTCATAATATTATTAGAACTTGATGGGACATATAAGATCCTCAGTTTTTTTTATTTTTTTTAAGTCTTTCTATTCTTTCTTGGGTCAGAAAGACTTCTGTGTATATATATATATATATATATATATATATATATATATATATATATATATATATATATATATATATTGGTGAGATATACTGGTATATATAAAAGCATAATTGGCTATATGAGAGGAAACTGTCGCTCACGTTGCTCATACGTCATCAAACAGCGACATGACTGTTTATTTGGGAGCGCAGGCGTGAATTTGGTTTTCGTGCAGGCTTAGAAGAAGGGTAAGTAAAGTTCTTTTTTTTAATTACTTTTAAACGCTATATTTTAAATGTTTTTCTGTCATTATGTCCTTAGAAATGAACCTCCGACGTAACTCCTCGCCGAAGTTAATCTAGTTTAACCGGCTAATCAGAGAAACGTCACCAACACGTCTGTTGTTTTTTATGTTTTTAGGTTTTCCCCTCTGGACGCAGCGTTCTTACCGCGTCGCTTCTGATTAGCTGTCAACCTCATGAATCCAGTAATTAGACGGAGCCTTCCCCCGTCTGTAAGGAGCCTCCTGACAGATATCGGTCCGAAGGAGGAGAAGTGGGCCGACCCGGAGGATGAGGCGGAGGCTGTGTCCAGAGATGGAATCCTGGTTCCGTCCAGAGGAGCTGGAAAAGAGGAGTTTATTTCTCCTGCGACGATTCAAAAGGAAAACACTGCAGAGCACCAGTCTAACACCAGGACTAGTAGGGCAGTGTGTATGTTGTGCAATTGTAAACAGTCTAACTACACCTGTCCACGCTGTAACCTTCAGTACTGCGGTTTGTCCTGCTATCAGAGGCCAGAGCACTCCGCTTGCTCTGAGGAGTTTTACAAGGAGTCTGTCCTGAAGGAGCTCAAGGAAATGGGGAAAACAGAGGAAGAGGGGAAGAAGAAGATGCAGGAGATTCTGCTGGGACTGAGGCAGAAAGCAGAGGCAACACAGGGGGGTATGGAGAATGTATTAAAAGAGGCGGACTTGGTGGGAGAAGGAGAAGTACAGGATCAAGTGCAGGTTTTGGAGCTTCTGTCCAGGTTGGCAGAAATTCAACAGTCTGGAAGGGAAAACATACCAGAGATGGAGGCTATTCTAGAGAAACTTGAGGAGATCGGAGGAGCAGAGGCGGCGCCTGGAGCTGCTGGTGAGGATGCAGAAGGAGAGCTTGACTTGGCTGAGCGACTGTCCGGGCTGGACATAGACAAGCTTTCAGAGGAGGAGCTGTGGGAACTTCTTGGTGAGAAGGAGCAGAAGAAGTTCTTGGGTCTTCTGAAGGGGGGGGATCTCAGTGGGCTGGTCCCTCTGTGGAGGCCCTGGTGGGAGAAGCATGAGGAGGAAGGCAGGCCGCTCGTCCAGGTACTTCAGGAAGAAGTAAACAAACAGAAGGATAGAGATGATCAAGTCAGTATTTCACAAGGAGAGAATCAGAAAGGAGAGTCAGCTTTTAAAATGAACAAAAGTAAAGGAGGAAAGGGAAAAAGTAAAGGAAGCTCGGCTGGAGGAGTTCCTCCAATATCTGTTAATATTCCAAAGTTGAGCTCCTTATGTGCAAATCCATCTCCTCTGGTTTGCTACAGTATAATAAACGCCCTTTATGGCTATGCCTTTTCCTTGTCTCTGTTTAACGGTGACACTGATTCGCTGATGTTCGAGTTCTGTGACATGATACTGGCCCTGTCTGAGGCACTGAGCTCAGGCAGGGTGTTCAGCTCTGTCCAGGATGCTTTAGACAGCGGGGAAACTCTCATTCTGCGTGGCGGTTACCTCAACAGGGAGGATCCTCTCGCTCCGGCCAGAGCAGTGGAGGCTGTGGCCCACATCCTGACAGGCAGGGACAGAGGAGACCCCTCCGGTTACTGCCTGGCAGCCTTTAGCCAGCTGCGAAGTACATTCTCTAAAGCCAGACTAAAGCTGTCCAAAGAGGGTGATGAAGGGGTGAGGCGACATAAGTACTTCCAGGTGGGCAAAAAATGTGAATTTTTTCAAGCCTGGGTGAAGGACAACGCACCGCAGGTTCAGATACTTGCTGTCGAACTGTGGGGCGAACATGGTAAAAGAGAGAGTGTGAGGAGCAGCATAGAGAAAACAAAGACTGTTGTTGAGGAGAATTTGAAGAAAGAAAAGAGAAGGAGGAATGATAAGCTCATTGAGGAGCTGAGCTAAATGTTTGTTTTTTTACACAATATATAATTAAATAAAATATTTGGAAACATCCCTGGTATGTTTGTGAATTTAAATGAAGTAAGGTTCATTTCTTGATGTTTCAAACAACTAACAATGGTTGGTATGGGATAATTACCAGTATCTTCCACTGACCCTCCCCCACTTGTTGCTGCACAATAAGAGTAACCTGGTACAGCGAAAGATTCCCATACTTTTGGTGTCCTATAAGAAACATAACTTAGAATTTTTTTGAAATTGTGAAAAAGAAGGATAGTTATTGTGAGGAAACTAAAAAATGACTCGCTCGTCACTCTTAATATCGGTTTGTTTTTCAAAACTGGAGTTTCTATGTTACAAGCAACATGATGGTGTGCTAATATCAATTGTTAATCCCTGAGTGATGTAAAAATCAAAATAAAAAAAAGGAAAATTGTCAAATATTCTGCAAAACTTTTTAATTACTTATAGAAAAATGTAGGATTTTTTTTTACTTTTGTCTGTTTTATTAAACTGATAATGAATGTGGATTTAATTATTGCTAGTTATGTACCCTCAATTCTAATCCCATGATGAAATGGTTCCTAGATTTCTGCCTTAAATACAACATGAAATGTCTGAAAGTTAAATAATAGCAACGTAATGATTGTTAGCATTGGCCTCTAGCCATCCCTACATTAATTGCATGGAGCTGGAAGCATGAAAATCTTCCAAGTCTCTTGATGTGGAAATAAGGAGCCAAGTTAGATCCTCCTCAATTTCCTCAAACATTATTAGGAAGCTATAAGAACACTGTGCAGATTAGTGCCTCAAAGGCACCTAAAATACACAGACAAAATTTAACAAACTTGTGGAAAATACTAAAACCCTTAGAAAAAATATGCACATTGCACATACATGTATGTGGGTTTAGTCCCTCAAATGGTTTGTTTGATTGTCGTCTAGTGTATGTACGTGCCTCTAAGGAGGGGTCCATCAAACTTGAAACTTGGCACAATTCACAAAAAAAAAAAAATGCTTACCTAAGTGCCAAAGATGACTGATCTGATTCATCATCCAGAGAACACTGCTCTACTACTAATAGTCAAATGGTGGTCTAATTAATGCCACTGCATACAGCACTTTGATTGGATGTAGCAGCACAGTGGGAACCATTAACACAAAGACCTCTATGTTCTGTTCATCTGCTAATCTGCACTGCAAAAACGATCTCGAAATAAATAAAAATGCCTTAAATTAATTAAGGCATTTGAGCAGGTAAATAAGATTATTTTCCAATGGAAGGAGTATTTCTACTCTTAAAATAAGATTATTTGACATTATGCACTTCGAATAAATAAATGCAAATATTTTTTCTTTATTGAAATGCAAATTGCCTTGTTCAATTGGCAAAAAGTCTAACTTATCACCTCAAATTAAGAAAAATTGCACTTTAATGACTTATGTAGATTTATATTTTTTTTGCAGTGTTAGGGTCACATGAAGTTTTGGTGGTTGGGATTTTTAGCTTCAGAAAGGAGGACTTTTCTACCCTATCTGCGACTTTACATGGACCAGCAATTTACAGCTGGGATTCTGTTTTCCCCAGCTTATAATTCATATTAATAACAAAACACATAATGTAAATAAAAAAAAACTTCATGGACCATGCAATCACAATACCACAAGATAATTTACTGATTGTGAGCACATTTTATGTAAGAATAAGTGATCTTATAACTCAAATAGGAAATAGAATAAAGTGCAGAAACAATATAATAGAATAAGAAATTAATGTATAATTGCAAAGACAGCTGTGCTTGCCAACCCGCTATTAAAAAAGAAGAAGAAGAAAAGGAAGACGAAGAAGACAGCCGTGTTCTTAGCTTGGGTTGGTACTCTCGCGAGATTCTTCCCTCCGAGTATGGTCACGCGGTGTGAGAGTTCCTTCATGTTGTATCAGAAAACATGGCTGCGCTCTTGAGATCAGCCCGGTTACTCAAGTTTTCCCCTTCGGCTTTGCTCCAGGTCCCGAGGAGCAGGAGAAGCGGGCCGCCGCTCGGTCGCTTGTTTTGTGGGGCTGTCGGGAGTAGAACCACCGGCGTCTGTTCCAGACAGGTCGGCCCCGTCTCTGACAGCGTGAGCAGGTAGGTTGCTGCAGGTTAGCTGGGACCCACGCGTGAAGCCGGGATGTCATTGGAGTTCAATGACAAACACAGTAATATACAACGGACAATACCACCAACAGCTTTGCACTATGGACTTTAAAATTGGTATTTTTAATAAAATAAATGTATCATACGCAACCGTCTTCTTCTGCAACCCTTAGTAAACAAAGCTCCTTTTTATGCAACGTTGAACGTTGTGTAACGTTGGGACAGCACATACAGCTCTCCTTACTCTAATTTGACTTTTTTGTCTTTTCTTTCACATAATACACAGAGACCAACCGTTATATCTGTAGCATGTTAGCTTTTAGCATGAGGCTAACAAGTCAACGTTGTGATGCTGTAGCTAGTCTGATGCATTTTAATATTTAACAGTTTTCTTAATTTTATTATTGAATATATAAACTAACACTTCATTCTTTGACCATTATAACATATAACAACTGAATAGGTAACTTCAGCAGGACTGTCATCCTTCAAGGTCATAGCTCATTACAAAATCACAAGCTGCAAACCACTGTGTTGTGGAAAGCTAACTGCATTTTACTCTATGCACACCAGCAGAACATGGTGTGGGGCTGACTTTTCATTACAGGAGAAACCTAAAAAAAATGCAACCACAGCTTAAATAGAAAGATATAGAGGGATTTAGTTTAGATATGTTTGGGTTTGAATTGATAATTAAAGATGCTCTATATCTAACATTATATGTGATGGAGCTTTAGATTAATCGTAAAGAAGAAAGAGCAAAAACGTTTTTTTGTGGTACAGCTAAGGTAGAAGAGAAATACTTGAAAAGACTGGTAGCTGCGACTGCAGAAAAAAGAACAGGCTCTATCCAGATTGTCATTATTCTTTTTATTTAGAATTTATTTGTAGTAACTCAAAAAAAAAGTGTATAATCTTCCTCCATGTGACAGTTTTTAAATACTTTAATTGATCTTTCATTTAAAACCCCACTATCATAAGCTGCATTTGTGGTTGAAATGGATAAACAAGTGGAAAAGTTCAGAAGGTCTAAATCTCACCACCTATGGTCAAATGTGAGCTGATAATTGCATTTCTCTAACTAAAGAGCTCCAATGATAAATAATTTTTTAACTTCCATCATCCTCAGGTGTGTGTGGCCTTACACTGCCAGCTGTGTGCGTAACTATGCTGTGGCCACGGAGCAGAAGGATGAGGCCAGCGTGGCGGTGCGCTCGAGGCAGGCGCAGCAGTTTGACTGGGCGCTGACCAAACTGGACAGCTCGGTGAGGAGGACGGGACGCATCACCAAGACCCTGCTGCTGCGCATCTTCCATGACATCTGCAGGACAGGTAAGCAGGCGGATCTTGGAAGAGTCGTATGGTTTCTTTTATTCTAGAATGCAAATATTAACTACCTCATAAAAGAATCAGATTTGCTTTTCCACATACTTGAAGATGTGATATCAAAATGAGAAAAAGCTCATTTCCCAATAAATTTCTTTGAAACTTTCGACATCTTTTTGTCCATCATCATTGTGTTTCCTCCTCTTCCTGCAGGTTATCCCAGTGGTAATCAGGCCTTGCTGCTGCTGCGGAGCTGTGGCTCCTTGCTGCCTGAGGTTCCGATGGAGGAGCGAAACGAGCTGGCACACAGAGTCTGGGATAAGATGCAGGAGCTGGGTGAGAAGCTCCCGCCCCACTGCAACACCCTAGCATAATTTTTAAAACCATCACACTGTTTACAGCAGATTCTTCGTTTATTGCAGTTATTTGAACCTTGTGCAGTATACATGTTTTCACTTTGCCTTTATGGTCAAGCTGAACATTTGATTTATTTATTTTTATTTTTTTTCAGGGGCTCAGTATGATGTCAGTCACTACAACGCCTTGCTGAAGGTTTACCTGCAGAATGAGTTCAAGTTCTCCCCCACAGACTTTCTGGCTAAAATGGAAGCGGCCAACATCCAGCCTAACAGAGTGAGTATAGCACAGAGTGAAATCCAGGGGTTTAGAAAATGAAAGATTTTCTCATCATAGTTTATTGAAGAAAACCAGCTCACTAATGAATGTTTTTGTGCATTTTGTTTTTGTAAAAACATCTTTTATTATTTTTTGTTGGTCTTCATTTTTTGTTTTTAGACTTTATTTCTCCAATAGCAGGCTGTTTAGTTATTTATTTATTTATTTATTTATTTATTTATTATTATTTTTTAGTTATGATCTAAGTCTTTGGATTATTTTTTTTTTTGTCAACAGGTCACCTATCAGAGACTGATAGCAGCTTACTGCCAAAATGGAGACATTGAAGGAGCCAGGTGAGCAAATCTGTTGTTTAACTTATCTAGGAAATCATTTAGATTGTTTTTTTTTTTTCTTAAAAAAAAAAAAAAAGGAAATATAAAGCTTTTTTTGGTTTAGTTTTCCTCTTAGTGGTTTTTCTTACCTTAAATGTCATGTTTTAGATCCTGTCTAGTCCAGTCAGGGATTATTCAATTACTTTATTAGTTGATGATTATTTCAGCAATCAATTAAATGTTTCAAAGCTAAATTGTTCATTATTTTGGTTCAAAATGTTGTACGGTTCTAGATCCAAACTGGGAAGAGATTTATTCTAATGTTATGAAGTCTTTTATAGAACCGGTTAATTAAATCAGAACCAGGCCCGGTTAGCTGTAGAACTGCTTCGCTTGAAGTTTTAAAATTGCTTTTAATGTTTTTCTTGATATAATCTCTTTGCCTTGTGTGTTTCTTATTAATAACACTACCTCTCACAGTGTATAATAGATCTTGTCTATTTGCATCTATCCTCAGCACCATTTTGGGTTTCATGAAAAGCAAAGATTTACCGATTACAGAAGCGGTCTTCAGCTCTCTGGTGACGGGTCATGCACGTGCAGGGTGAGTATCTTAGTTGTTGATCTGTTTATAATATAAATTAAATATTTTTCATTTGAACTATATTACACAATGGAGAAATTAACTCTCTGCATTTAAGCCATCCCCTTTTGGGAGCAGTGGGCTGCCACAGCAATCGGGGGCTAAGGGTCTTGCTCAGAGACCCAGAATGGGTTTTGAACTCACAACCCCAGGAATCCATGCCCTAAGGGGATAGCCCACTAGGCCCCCACTCCCCCAGTAACAGTAGTTTTGGAGTAATTCGATTTAAAAAAAAAAGTTTCCTTTGTGCTGTGCAGTGATATAGAGAGCGCCGCCAACATCTTGTCTGTGATGCGTGGAGCTGGAGTGGAACCAAGTCCTGACACCTATGTGACGCTTCTGAATGCGTACGCAGAGAAGGGAGATCTAGAGAATATGAAGAAGGTTTGTGCTGGCACCATTCAGAGTTAATAAACATGGCACCCATTCAAAACAATCCCATCTCTTAAAGTAAATCTGGGTGTCTCATTTCTCCAGTGTTCAGGCCTGCATATTCCTCCTTCCCATCATTCATTTTACTCTGTAACATTTTCAGACTCTGGAGGCAGCAGAGAGCGCAGACTGCAGCCTAATGGACAGAGACATCATGCAGGTCATTTTCACTCTGGCTAAAGCTGGACAGCAGCAACACATACCAGAAATGGTCGAACGCCTGAGGCATGAGAGAGGCTACATACCAGGTACATCGTTACAGTTTACAGCAAAGCAAAGACTAATAATTCAGACCTTTTGCTGATGTTTTATTGAGAGACCTGAGATGAATTTAAAGTTAATAAAATCTATATTTTAGTTGATTTTTAAATTGTCTTTGAAAGTCGACTGCCCATTTGCTTCGGAGTATTGTTGAGGTAATTGGAGGCAGTGCTACATAAGCTGGAAAAAACATGGGATTAGATTAAAGAATCTTGACAAAATGGGGATTAGAAGACTATTTGCACTTCTAGGCTGTTAGCTCTTATGAAGGACATGCGGCGTATGTCAGCTAATGATGTAACACCCGCGACTCCCTCTTGGACGGCAAAACAAACTGCTGATGCATAGAACATGACCGGCTGCTATTGCAGATTGGTAAGGTACCAAACAGGAAATAGGCCTAGTGTAGAGTGGATCTAGATTTGACCAATCAGAGGCCTCCTGTCTGCTGCACCGTCTGCGGCCACCTACAATTTTGGAGAGGTGCAGCAGAGTGTCTGCAGAATAGGCGGGGGCATATCTGCGTTCACTGTGACACGCACGCAGATGACCTGGTTTCTGATTATAAACCAGCCTTAAGCCTAGAGAGCAGCCAGGCTTTACTATTTCACCCAAGGATAAGCGTCATACTTGTAGTCTAAATGCATCGATGTTCAAGAGCGATATGAGAAACTCTTAATGTCTGAATGTTTAACATGTTAGCTGTTACTATAGCTCGGTCCACCATGTTCCCCTCCTTCCAGCAGCATGATGCAGGCTCTCCCCCACTTGGTATACAACAGAGGGCTCTCTAAACTTCTATAAGCCTTCAGCGCTTTTCCTGAAACTAAGATTGGTGATTCAGCAAACAATTGTTCAAGTCATGTTATGTGAGATAGGAGATATCCGACAGATGGGACTCTTGAATAATTGAAAACAAGCTAGCAGGTGAATTATAGGTATCCTGCACTGCAGCAAAAGAACATTTTGCTTTGTAGTCCTGTTTTATTTTCCATTTAAATGTGATATGTAGATGATGGTGGGATGGCAGATTATCCTCTGACGTTGTTATATCTCTGTAGTAAACATCTTGCTGTATTATTATGCCAAATGCAGGTGGTTTCACGCTGTCCATCATGGTAGCATAACCAGACAGCAGTCAAGTTAGTGGATGTCCACTATATCATTGTCCAAAGTTTATTTCCTTTGTTTAATTTTTCCTTATGTATTTTTTTGTTGCAATCCTTGCCCCCATTTCTGGATTCCTTTTATCCTGTCCTCCCTTTTACTGTTTCTCTGTTGTCTTTTCTGCCTTTTTTTCCCCTCCTGAGATGATTAATAATCCAAATTAAAACCCGATTAGGAAACTTGACTTTTAAGGACTAAAGGTCTGAGAGCTCTTCAAATACTTCTACCTGAACTTAAAAAAAAATAACAAAAATGTAATGTTTTTTGTGAATAGTTATGACCCTATCCAACTAACTGGCTTATGTGTCCAAATGTCCTCCTTTTTCCCTCCAGATGCCATGAACTTGTGTCTGAGCCTCATCACTCAGGGACAAGAAGATGTAGCTTTTAGCCTCCTGAAAACATTCCCTACTCTACAGTCTGATAACAGCGACTCGTCGAACCTTGGGAACTTCTTCCTCAGACACTGCGTGAACATGGACACGGTACGTAAGAAAAAAACTAAACCCTACCTCTGTTTTGTCCAAGAAAAAAATTCAGTTAGACCCTCCAAGTTTACCAACAGTCTCTGTAAACATTGAGCATTTCTGATGATTATCGGATGTAATTTTTGACTGGAATGTTTCAGGCACTGGAGAAGGTTGTTCGCTATTGCAAAGAGCTTCAGGAGTTGCACCTTCACTCTGCACCAATCACCTTCACGCTGTCCTGCGCTCTTGAAGCCAAGAAACTGGGTGAGACACGTTTTTAGACTGAAACTCTTTTTTGCTTAAATTGTAACTGAAACATAAAATAGTTTTTTTCCATGATTTTTTTGCAGGAACATCTATGGAGCTGATGAAGTTACTGAAGGAGCAGAACTTGCCTGTTAGACCTCATTACTTCTGGCCTCTTCTTACTCAGCCTTTGAAGGAGAACAACACAGCTGGTACACATACTGTTTGGTTTAAAACATCCCATATTTTAATCTTAACATACAGTCTTACCATTGAGTGAGAGGCTAAAACATATTTTTGTTGCATTAAGTGGTGCAAAGGCAAGCTTATTTATATAGCATATTTTAGGAGCATGATCATTTGAAGCAATTGAAGTGCATTTCAGTGTTATACAGATAACACAAATGGTTAAAGAGAATTAAAATGAATAGTTAAAATAAGAGGATTACGTTAAAAAAATCACCAATAAAAAATGGAACAAAAGTCTGACCAGAAATCTAACTATTAATGTTTAGATGGCTCAATCAAAGGACGCTCTAAATAAATACATTTTTAATGTTGATTTAAAGCAGCTTAGGGCTTCAGCACTCTAGGAACTAAAAGCTGCTTCCCCATGTTTGGTTCTTGGTATGCAGAGCAGATTTGACCTGAGAGGTCTGGGTGTTTGATTTTGAATATAAGCATTTTAAAGAGTTGTGTACTAATAGAAGTATATTAATGTCTACTCTGAGATACAGTGAGCCAGTGTAAGGACCTAAAAACTTGAGGGATGTGCTTCACTTTCTTAGTGTTAGTGAGGATATGGGCTGCAGAGTTTTGGATAGACTGCAGCTGTGTTTATGATGGCTACTAGTTTAAGCAGAAGAATGTAGGTACAATGGCAAAGATGTTTTATTCTTTTGAGAATTGAACTTCTGTCATGGCAGCCTTTTGGAAATCTGTGTCTAGACATCTAAACTATGGAGCATCTGCTTTTAAAAGCAATATTGCGATAAATAAGACTTGAATATATATATTTTTTTCCACTAAGTATAAATGTTCCTTATCCGGTCCTACTGTTAATAAAATCAAACCCAACTTAACAGTTAAAACTCCCAATTGGAAGATTGTTGGTATTTAATTTATTTAAACAATTTGATGACCAAAATAACTGTTTTTAGTATTTTTTTTTTCAACCTGTTTAGCAACAGGTTTTGTAAAGAGGAATGGTTGCCAAGGAGTTTGTAAAGGATCTAATGGATACATGTAACATAAATGTCGATAATGCATATCTTACTGATTATATATTTTTGTAAGCAAGAAAGGCATGCTTAGGTCAAGGTTGAAGAGAAACGTCAAATTTTCCTACTCTGATTTCATGGGAACATGCCTGTTATTATTCTTTTTTGATTTTTAGATTCTAATTTGTAAATATAAGTTAGAAGTTAAACTACATTGCATAAATTACTTATTTCAACCAATCAGGTGGTGCCAATAGATGAAAATGGTTTGAGATCTAAAATAACAAACTGAAAAAGTCAAATTCTTCTTAATTTAAAAAAAAAATGTCAAGCTCAGGGTATTTGGGTGACTTGGTTATTCTTAAATGTTTTGACAGTTGCCGATGTATACTGCTATCTCTGTATGAGGAAATACTTATAGACCCACATACTAACTATAATAATTGTTAGCATAAGCTGCAAATCGCAGAATAAACAGTGTGAATATATGAGAATAACAGTCAAGACAGTCTGTAAACACAAACAAATTATCAGAGCTGAGTATCAATCTGGGTTTTGTAATATGTTTTTTTGAAATAGTATAAATGTGAGGACCAGCTCGGGTCCTCAGTAACATTGGTTCTGTGGAGCTGGAAGCGATCCAAAGCAGTGTTTTCTGGGAGTCCTTCATCGCCACATACAAATTTGGTTTGTTAAGAGAAATTGGGTTCTAATACAGTTATTTGTAGGTAAGAGCCTCCATATTTAGTTTTTCTTTGAATTTTTGGTTGCTTGGTCTATTTTCAGTCTCAATCTTGTTACTGACCATGACAGCGTACTGGGCAGTATGGAGATGCAGAAGGAAACGTACATGGCTTATCATCAAAACCCCAACCCCTTTACAGGAGAGCAGAAATCCTCGCCTATTCGGCCAGGCCAACAATTCACTTTAATGACCCCCCCTTTCAGAGACTTAAGGCTGATTTATACTTCAATTCTAGGTCATCTGCGTAGGTGTCGCGGTGAACGCAGAGAAATCCCCGCCCCCTCAGCAAACACTCTGCTGCACCTGTTCCAGATTGTAGGTGACCGCAGACATTGGTGTAGACAGGAGGCCTCTGATTGGTCAAATCTACATCCCCTGTAGATTATGTGTATTTCCTGTTTTGTACCTTACCGGCTTGTTTTGTTTGTATGACCGCGATTGTGGAAACGACTTGTGATGTTGGAAAAGCTAGAAGAGCGAGGTGTGCGAGAACGCTGGGACCCTTTTTCCACCTGGATTCCTGCTCTTTTCCGCCCTCAGGTGCCTCAGTTGGTGGACAAACTTGCCCCCATTTCCTCACCGCCTCGGCCGTACCTAGACCCACAGCTAGTTCGTGATTTTCCCCTTTGCGTTGTGCCGTGGAATACACATAATAATAATAATAATAATCGATGCAGACCACGCTTCAACACTGAGCATAAATAAAAAATGTCTGTGTCAAACCTGCGACAAGCTCACTGCGGCACACTGCTGCAGGAGTATAACCAGCCTTTTTAGACGGGTATGGGGCATTGCAGGCCCCAAAAGAAGCCAAAGGACCCCCATTCCGAAGGGGTTAACCCCTTCTTCCATTTCAATTTGCATGTTTTCAAAACTATAACAAGGTTTTGATGGGCTACTGTATAAAATCTCAAGCTCAACGCTATTCTTGACATTTTGAATTGAAAAACCTTCTTAGATGGGAAGAAAAACGTCTTCAAACTTGGAAACAAAGTCCAGTGGATTGTTTTTAACTTTCTCAGAAGAGAGAGATCAATTATTATTATTCAGTTAATCTTTTTTCCTTTGTCCACTTTTTGGCTGGGAGCTCTTAAGAAATCCCACTGTCCTTTGAAAGGAGATATCCTTTGCGTTTATGTTTGCAGTGTCAGCAAAGTAAGGGGGAAACAATCGATAGGTCTTCCTATAAGACTGCTGGTAGTCGGAATAATAAACGAGCCCAATTATTATCTTAAAGCTTTGTGCTTTTCAGAAACCATGGCCTTCCTGAACACAGCGCTATTTACTCACTAAATATTTAAACTTACAAGCTTTCTCCTCTTCCTGGTTGTAACTACAGATGTTTTTGTTGTAGCCCTGAGAGCATTAAGGAGAAGCATGTTATTTAGTAAGTCGAGAGCCCTCATTCAGCACTCCTCCAGCGTTTGAACTTGCTTGGTTTAGTGGAGAAATACATTATGTGCCACTTGGTTTTATTTATATTTTTAAAGGAGATGGGGTGAGAGTCAAGCCAGTTGTAAATCTAAGCTAACATTTAGCCCCAGTTAGGTTTGTGAGCCATGAAGCTTTTAAAAAAGTAGACACATCTTAATCTGAAAAAAAGAAGCTTTTTTTTTTTTTATGTTGGATCTTTTTTTTCTGAAGGCATACAGCGGAATATAACATCTTCTTTACCAGAAAGAGCTTTTAAAGGGGAGTTTTTACTCAAATATTCATGACCTTTTGAGAGTGAACCAGCTGGGACAGATTTCAGCAGGCTGGGCCAGTGAAGGGCGAAGAGGTCTGATCCCTGCGTGAGGGGGGTGAGAGTTTCTGTTCAAATACACACTGTGGCTTCTCTGTAGAGACGTGCTTGAGCACATTTTTTTTAAAACGTCCCATTTCCTGACACTTTGGCTCCACCAGTAACAGTCTAATCGAAGCCCTTAGCTCTTGTTCCTTCAGCTATCATGTGGTCCACAGTGACGACTCAATCATGAGTAAGAAAGGAATTCCAGACAGGATGTTATTTAGATGATTAAAGTCAAAATGGGACTAAAACCGTCTGGGGAAAAAAACAGCTTACACAGATATATTGGACGGCTAAAGCTGTATTACATATAAAAACAATAACTGTAAAGATTTATATTGGTCACCCAGAGTACAAGCAATTATGTGTGTTTGTTATTTGAGGAGAGCTGGGCTTATATGGCACGTCAGGCAAAGCATTGTGGGATCCCTTATTTCTCCTTTGTGCCATTGAGGGACCTTGCAGGTTCTCTGGTAAAAGAGCTATGATGGGAATCAAGCAAAGCAAAGTTTGCACATGGCCTTCATGCTAAAAGCGTTTTTTTATTAGAGGGATAGTGGAGGATTTTCCCAAATTTTTTAAAAGATCCGTCCTCTCCACAAAAAAAAAAAAAAAAGACATTCACAAGATTTGCAATTTTTACACTATGTCTGAAAATGGGGGCGAGCATGTAGGTCGGCCTTACGTAAACATATCAGCAGAATGATTGACAGTTAGGAGGACCACTTATTTTGATGATCCTTCGGAAAAAGAACATCCTCCACTATACCTTTAATGGATGTAGTGATGCTGTGCTCTATCTAGATCAGGAATGTCAAACTGGTTCCAGAAAGGGTCGTGTGGCTGTAGGTTTTCTTTCCAACCAAACAATAGCACACCAGCCTGCATTCATATCATCAATTCATCATGTTAAGATTGGACTCCCTTGATGAGATGACTGGAGTCTATATTGTGGGGATACTGCAAGCACTGTTTTATACTTGTACACTATTTTGAAAACCTTTACCTCCGTTACTTTAAGTTGATCAGCCACGAAGTTCAAACTCAATACGTTGAAGTTGTTTGGAGACATATGGAGGTTTAGGGGCATGAATCCCTTTGCTCTGTGTGCCGATACTAACTAAGCAGAAGCCGTTCAAAGTGGTGCACGCTTTCTGTTGAAGGATAACCTCCTGACCTTTGCCCTTTGGTAGGGAGGCCTAAGCTGTCGTGTTGGTAGTTTTGCTTCAGTGGGTTTCCTTGGTTCTTTTGTCAAACCACATTCATCTCCCCATACAGGACTTTATCTGTCTATTACCGTTATTGCACACAGGGTACTGGGAGCTCTGGTTTTAAAGCTGCTTTCTAGTTAAAGTGAAGTCAACCTGAAGAATTTCTCTACAAACAAGCACTAGAATCACAAACATGTCTGTTTTTCCAAATTTTTTTCCACTCATTTGTTGTTTGGGATGACGCTGTGTGAAAAAACTGTCTTGGTCACAGTTTGCAGACATCTTGACACTCGTTAGGACTCAAAACTCATTAGCTTGTGCTTCCTCTTCAGCAGCAGTTTGGTTTTTAAGTGCTTCGTGTTTGCGGATCTCCAGGTCTCTCTTTGGGCTTTTTTGAAGCAATTAATAAGTGATGGATTTTTTTTTTTCTCCTCTCGTCAGCCGGGTCGACGGCATCTGAGCTGGCAGGGGGGTGAAAACTGGTCAGACTGGTGTTTGTGCCGCAGCAAATTGAATCTTCCGTGCGGTCAAGACTTATTCCCCGTTTGACTGCTGAGATGTCTCAGCGGCTAGCTTTGGCTGCCTGGAGGAGAGGTTCAGATATGAGTGCAAACATGTTTAGCTAGACTGACTTGAGCTCCAACCGCACCGTCAGACATCATCCATTTACGTATCAGAGTGGAAAAGGGGGGAAGAAGGAAAGAGAGAAAAGTGGAGAAACTTCTCTCTCGCTCACACTTGCTTGTTTCCAACAGTGTTTGCCTTAATCCTCATGAATCATGCAGCCCACCCCCCCATTCGTTGGCTGTAGGAGGCAGTTGTCTGGGGGGGGTCGGTTGGAGATGACTTTCTGAGGGCAGTGCAGGTGATGTGACTGATGCAGAGTGACTTGATTTCATGTAAATGCGAGCGCTCTGAGGGAATTCACTTTGGATTACGCGCCCCACTGTGCATGGCCCATGAAATATTAAGCCTCGTGTCACTTTTTGTCCACAGGTGTCACTAGCGGGCAGAGAGGCCGATGCTGAGGAATGGGGGGGGGGGTTCTGTCGGTGGGAGGAGGGGGAAGAAAAATCCCCGTACATGCTGATGAGGTGTGGATTTGGTGGGTTTAGCGAAAGCATATGCTTGGCCCTTCTCGCCACCTGCCGCTAGCTAGCCACTGCTTGTCAGTCCTTGTGACACAATGGTCTCTTATAAGCTGTGACACAGCAAGCAGAGGGAGGGGGGGGGGGGGTCTCTCACCTTGCCTGTTTTTTTGGGGTATGAAAGGTTTTAAGTTTACTTCTTTTTCATTTTTGATACATTCAAAAATGAATTATTGTAATTTAAATTAGTTATTCTTGTCCACCTTGCGTTTGCCTTCTAGCATAAAATCCCACATTAGGTAAGGCATAGGCAAAGAGAGACAAGCCAGATGGTGCTAGAGGAGAAAGGAAAAGGGAAGTGACAGGTACTCATGTTCAAGGACAGGACAAGATGACAGCCACCAGTTCCCTCCTCTCCTCTTCTCCTCCCATTTCTGTGTCCCCAACTTCCCGTCTGTGACAGTTAACCTGGAGACATGAAGCTGATGGTGATATCTTGTGACCACTGCCATGCTTAACTCACTACTTTGATACTTCTTGCCTGGATATAACATCCGGTTTTTATGCTGAACGTCCTGGAGAGGTCTCTGTTCTTCACAGCCCGTCTTTGTTCCAAAACCTCTTTGTAAATGCCTCAGACAGCATAACATTTGAAATTCAAGAGGCTCAGGACCTGGAAGGAAAGTTAGGTAAATAATACTTTGGAATATCGCTAGCCATTCATTTTAAATGTTATTACAGCAGATGTACAATATTATCAGTATCTGCTGATATTGGCTTTAAAACTATCAGACATTCCTCCACAATATAACTAACTGATATGAAAGGAGTTGTTTTTTGTTAACAAGTGAGGATTATGCCTGCAGAGCTGTAGGATCACATGCAGTCAACTTAATGGATGAGTCTGCCACAGGAGAGAGATTCAATGACTGGAAATGAGAGAGAAAACTACATAGTATATGTAAGTAGGAAAATTACCTGTATCAGTTATTTACCAATTCATTTGTAAAATACCCACATATCAGGTTTCTGCAAATAATCCAGTATAAGATTAGGTCTTGTAAGATAAATAAATGCTAAATATACAGAATTCCATGCTAATGAATCACTAGCCTAAAAGAGACAGATTGCAAAAAACAAAGGTAGCAACGTAAGTTTTTCTGGCCTGATTTCGCAATAACCATAGAGCCATCTCCAATACGAACTTGAAATTAAATGCAGTACTCTCCTTAATCACGAAGAGGGCGCTAAACAAGACATTTTAGACAAATCAGGATTGCAATAAATGATGCTTAAATGATCAAAATAAAGCGTGCACCATATAGACGGTGCTATAAGACCAAATGGAGAGTCCATTTGCAAAGATTGCGGGGGTGAATTGGCCTTTTAAAATTAAAATGCACTGTACAGAGCTTTTCTGTTTTTCAAACACTTTCCTCTTATATGTTTAAAAACTAATTTATTTATACTCTTGATTCATTAATCAATTACTCAAAAATAATCTGTAGATTAATTGATAACTAAGATGATCGATGGCAGCTGTCCTAGAACAGATTTGTTAAAAATTCTCCAGAAGTGGCTGAAATTTGAGATTTTTTCATTAGACAGCCTTGACTTTTAAGTTTTGCTCCAAGTTTATTTAACATCAGATTTAAACACCTTGTGCTATAGCATTTCAATAGGGTCCTTACTAGAAATATTATTATCTAGAGATGGACTGCCTCTCAACTAAAGCTGGCGTACACCCTTTTTCTCTATAATGTAGAAAGTGATTCTTTTGTTTGGATTGCTCGGATATTGATCATGGGTCTTATGTCAACAATTTTACCCCAAATAAAGTTGAAATCTTGACATTTGGAAAAGAAAAATAATAATTGAAGAAGGTATTGCTTAAAGGCATGACTAGCAAAATAAAAAAAAATCCAATAGCCCTCTTATTGCATGAATTAAAAGTGCTGATGAAGGTGGAGGAGGCCGGAAAGCACGTGAGAGACATCCAACTTCTACATTCAAACTTCCTGCTCTCCATTTACTTGTTCTCAGTCTGTTTGGCTCACCATGAAAGTGACTATGGATTATTCAGGAGGAAAGCAGGTGCTCCATCTCTTCGTTCATAAAAAAGGACCGTTGAAAGCGATTGTCGGAGTAAGAATGAATGAATGGATGGGTGGCAGAGTGGATGGACTCCTCCATTGAGAAGAAAGAAGAAGATTGTCTGTTGACTTTTTTGTGAAAGATGGATAGCGAGAAAGGTAGATGAATGAGTGATATGGAGGCAGGGGAAGGGTGAATGGAAGAAGTGGTTCAGGTACCTTCTACCTGGGTAATGTAGCTTAGTTGCAGGTTTTAATGGCATATAAAAGCCAAGAACTCATCCTTTATTTATCCAAAGAGCCTGACAGGTGAACACAAGCCCCCAGGAGAATAAACAAACACAAAGATCTCTCAGTCTCTCTCTATATATACCACATATGCTGGTGTGTGAGAACTAGAAGAAGCACTTAGGAATAGTCTTTCAACATCAAGGTGTATTAGTAATATTGATAAAGCACATAATGCTAGTGTTTTACCACCATTCCCCAACAAGTGCAAACATGTTATGTGTGTTGGCTCTTTTAAGCCTCTGACTTTTTTTTTTTTTACGGGGCACGCTCCAAGACATGATGCAAAGTGTTTCTTCCATTGCTGAATGGTTTTTGTGGCTCTTCCATATGCATGTGGCTGCTTTGGCCAGCTTTCCTGAGGCAGGACCTCAGGGTTCTGCTGGAGAACAGGGTGCAAGAGTCCACTTGAGACCACGTGTGTGTCTATGCATGCATATTTTTACCCAGCAATCTGGGGGAGGACGGAAAGGAGCCATTAGCGCTATGACAGTCAAGGGTGTGGGGTACTTGCACAGCTTCAGGGTGGAACTGCAGAGTAAGAGTAGTAAAGTGTGCATGCTGGGAGAGACAGGAGCTGTGGTTTTTCTTCATTTTAAATGAGAACATGCATTAAGTTAATAAAAAAAAAAAGACCCATTATAACCTTACACTATGGTAAGATAACTTTGAGTAAAAAACACAACACGAAAAGGCTTGAACCTAATGCCTTCTGGAAGAAAAAGGAACATTTGGTAATCAGATGACTTCTAAAATAATATAAAATATTATTTAGAAGTTATTTGGTACTTTGATAATATTGGCTTAAGATTTTTATCCCGATATTCAGATGCTTTCAATCCTAAAAAGAAGCATTTAAAACTTTGTATTTAAAAGTTCTTCCTTCTTTTTAGCACTACAACCACTTTTGCATAAAGCCTGGCACCTGCCATGCAAATAATGCTTTACAATGAGTCAAACCTTCTTTTGGAAATGCCTTGATATTGATAGATGATGCTAAGGAACTATACAGGGGAAAGGTTCAAAAGGTGATGAGTTTTAGTTGGCTACCGATTATTTTGATATCAGTCTTACTCTCCAGTATGTGTTGCCGATATTTTTAGGCTGATTCTTGGAACCGATATTCTTTGTCTGTTTTTATTTACAGGAGAAAAATGACACGGTTAAAAAAAAATGTGGTACAAGTTCTAGTTTAAAAAACTATGTAGCAAATTAAACAAAATATTTAAAATGGACGGCAAATAAATCAGGATGGCTGTGCAAGATCGTATGGAACTCATGAATTGACCAAGACATCTGTGTATCAGCCAATACTAAAACATACAAGGAACAAAAACAAGCTATATCGGCATGATGTATCACTATCTTTGATCCCAACAAGACTAACTTTATTATCACAATTCTGATCTTGAAGCAGATTTAAGCCAAAAAAAAGGAACAAACAGCCACCAATATAGGCCTTTTAATTTCTGATTGCATCCGGTCACTGACTTTTGGAGCATGGGTGTAGCAACAGCGGACAGAAATCCTGGCTCTGAATAGGCCAGAGATTTCGCTCCAATTTTATTCTTCAAGACGTGAAGCTTAGATCCCTGCTGAAATGTGAGGTTTCTCTTGGAACCTGTCAGGATATCAATAGACTTCAGCGATGACTTTCTGTTTTTTGTTGTAGGTGTGGTGGAGGTGATGCGAGGCATGGAGAAGCTTGGAGTCTCCCCTGACCTCGACACATTATCCACCTACGTCCTGCCTGTGTTCCCCAGCTTGGAGGCCGCACGTCAAGCACTCAAGGTTAACAAAAGCTGGCTACACTTTATTCTCTGACTGTTCTTTTCTTTTTACTGACTGAAATGCTCAAATGTCTGTTCAGGATTCAGGCGTCTCTGTGGATTCGGAGGCCTTTCTGTGTGCAGAGGTTCGCACGTCGGCTGCCAGCGACCTGGCCAAAGTCTACGCTCTGAGTAAGCAGTACACAAATGCATCAACTCTCATCGACTTCATCAAAGTCTAAAGAGTCCGTGCCCCATCCTAAGCAGCCACCATCACTGAGGCTGCTACCTCACCTGCGGGCTAATTGGCGGCGTGTCTGCACTTAAACACACAGACACACACATTTACCCTCTAACACCTCTGTGCTCATCAGGCCTTTTAAGGGATTAGTCTGTGTGAATTTGTAAACAGCGTGGAGAGCTTCGTTCTGCAGAGGAGAGCGAGATATGAAGGGCTCCTAAATTATGGATAGCTGCTCCCGTTGTCTGTCTTTCCTCCAACAGCGTCAAAAACCGACCATACGTCTCAGTTTAATGTGAATCGAGTGGAGCTTATTTAACATGACTGCTGGCGTTTTAAAAACAGCATCATGTTTAGTAAGCATTTTTTACATATATGGCTGAATATTGCAGCTTTTAGCAGCCAAATGGTATAGAAATTAAGAATATGGATGAAACGGACCAAAGCAAATCAAGGGAAAGGTAAATTAGAAAGGCCCTGAAAGTGAAAGTCAGGATTTAAAAATAGCTTTTTGCTTTGAGATGTTTGCTACAGTAAAAATAATAAATAACCATCTTCAGTTCCTTTTTTAACTGCTTTGCATAAGATGTGGGAGAGCTTTAAGAGATTGATTAGGACAAAACAATCAGAGGAGCTACACTTTCTGAACCAGTGATCAGTCTGTGTTGATGTGCTGTTTAATTTTTCCATTTTTTTTGGTAACTAACAGTTTGCTTTCTTCACTTCAGTATCCGATCCCTCCTTCCCGGCCTTGGATCTCAGTTTCTTCCGCAGCAGCCTCATCACAGGCTTCAAAAAGTGAGTCAGTTAGCCTCCTCATCTGTTTGTTTTTTCCATTTTCTGCATCACTTCTGCATTTTGACATATTTGGCCCCTAAGAGCCCCAGCCTGGGGTTTAATGTGGCTCTATAGAGGTCACGACAGCATATGCTCACAATGTGTGTGAATGTGACATGTGTGGCCGGTCGCACCATCCATCGGCGGCTGTGCATGGGCAGCTGCAGGGAGAAACGCTGCATCACGCACACGGGCAGATATACACGGGTCCCTCATACATATGGAGGCCCTCACCCCTCATGCTCTCGCCTCAAAGCTCTGCGGGAGATATGCAAAACAGCAGATGCCCACCACTATCCCCCGACTTCTGTGCTGGTTGCATTTTCTCTCATTCTTTCTGACACACAAGGGGTTAGCCTTAGGACCAGCGTCTGACTCACAGGCATTTTCTTGAAGGGGTGTTTATGAATATTTACAGTTTAGCACTACACGGCTGCACAAAAACACTTGGGGGGGCTCAGAGCAACGCTGGAAGTGAACCAAGGAGTCAAGTGCTGACTTTCCTGCAGGGTCTTAAGTTATTTCTCTCACTTAGCAAAAATGTGATTACTTAAGCTTCACTTTTTGCTCCTGGTTCAGCTGGTTCAAGTTCATTACAAAACACGCCTCAACTTTTTTCATATTTCTGCTTGTTGGAGCCAAATTCATGCATAGTTTTTAATTTCTTTCTACAAATTTAAATCTGAAAATTGTGGCATGCGTTTAGTTTCATAGATGCGGTAGGTTTCCCTACAGCTGTAAGTCTTTAGGGTGTAAGAGGTTATCGTTAACTGAAACTAACGAAATGATGAAAACTTGAATGAGAAAAATAAACTGAAATAAAGATAAAAACTCTGCATAAAAACATGAAACAAATGCACTGAATTTCAGCAGTAATTGTGCTTAGTCTTCATTTGTTTCTTTATTATAACGCAGTAATATGAGGTCTAGTTTCCAGTTTCTTTTTTTGCTTTTTTTACTGTTCCTCAGTCCGGTCATTTGTGTTGCTGCAGTAGTTTGTCCTTACCTGGGGATTGATTTCTGTTATCTACTTTTTTTTTGTTAAGTTTTGCTGTAAGACATTTCATATAAAAGACTAAAAACTATAATAAAATTTAATAAAGAATAAACTGAAAATAAGCATTTTCAAAAAAATAAGTAAATCCAGAAAAAAAAACTAATAAAAATTTGCAGTCTAATTAAACAGTGCAGGTATTTATCAGATTTGCACATCTAGCTGAGGGGCACTGCAGCAGGAAAAGATGCTGGTCAGTGAACGACGCCATACCAAAATAACTTTAAAGTTAATGCCTTTCTGTTTTGGTTTCTATCAAACACGTATAGTAAGTACTCCTCCCAGCTTCATCCAAAAAACATTGTTCTGTTGCCTTTCATGCCTGCAGTGCACTAAGATGTTCTTGGGGTTTTACAAAATCAAAATGTGGGAAGATTGAATCTACAATGTCTATGAGAAGAAGTTTTGAAGTGTATTTAGATCCGGACCTTATCCAGCCTTCCAGCAACTTCCACCAGATGCCACCACACCATGAAGCTGCCGCCGCCTCTCTTTATTCCTCCTCACATGATGCCCTAAAGCTCAGATTCATGGTGTTTTACCTCCTTGTGCAAAGAGCTGCAGCTTCCTAACAGATCCTCTGACATGTGAAGTCTGGTGAATATGTTGCAGTGCATGAATCTGGATAGATATTCTAAGTCATCTTTAATTATCAGCCTTTTTCTTGGACTCATTCCTTTTCCTCTCCTCTTTTCGCTTTCCTCTCTCACACACACACACACACACACACACACGTCTCTGATGGTTAGGTTGCCTGACAGGGTCGTAATTGGTCTTGTCACTTTGGGAGCGTTTGCACATGTGTGTGTGTGTGTGTTTGCGAGTGCCATGTCATCGCTGTGCTGGACCTGCCCCTGTCAAAGACAAGGTCAGGGGATAATTTAATCATTAAAGACCTCTTCTTCTCTCCTCTCATCTTTCCCTCTCTCTCCTTTTCCAACATCTCGCTGACAACGGCGGAGATGTCACACATTGTCATCATTTAGCCCGTAGAGTGTGCGCGTGTTCATGTGTGACTTTGCGTCTTTTGTGGTTTGCCAGAGTTTTGTTCCGCCGCCTCTCATCTGCTGTATTGTGGGCTGAAGAGCGTCAAACAGGGAAACGCGTCGCTCCAGCTTCATGTTTGCTGTGTTATGCTGTCAGGTCACCAGCTGTGGGGAAATAATCCTGCCGCTTCTGAGACAATTTAAATTTGTTTAAGTTTTTTGCAAAAGAATAACAGAAAAGTTGTTTGATTTTACTGGATCTAAACTACCTATTTGTAAAAATATATATTTTTTATTCTAAAGCTTCTATAAGAGCAGATATGAATTAAATGTCTTTAGACTTGATTGTTTTTCTAATTCCAGAAAAGTAAATGGGTTTTCTTTTGTGTTTTGTGACCAAAATTATCAAACTGCATTAAACCTCATGCAATTTTTATTTTTTGGAGGGTTTGGGGGAGGCAGACTGGTTGAGCTGCTGCTTGTTTTATTTATTGTCCTCTACTGCCCCCTGCAGGTCTTCTGATGTGGACAACATGGTGAAGGTAAGACTCAATGCACCCCTGAAAACAAACCTTGAAAAGGAATGTTAAACATATCAGATTCTATCAGATCCTCTGCTGTATATCTTAGTTTTAATCAATAACTCATCAACATTGCTCTCTTAAAGTAGCAGTTTTATGTTTTTATTTCTACTTAATCTTAGAGATAGCATCACAACACAGTAGAAATGTGAAACGGAAATTTTCTGACTGCACTGAATACATAAAGTGGCCAAATAACCATTAAAACAGTGGTGTAAAGTAGAAGATGTAGAACTGCATAAATGAAGATATGAAATTCTGCTGTCCCCTCTTGATGCATTCATGCAGTGCTTAGAACATACAGCTTGAACTTTTTTCTCATATTTGGTCACTTTCCAACCGCTAACTTTAATGTGTGGTTTGATTTTTATGAGTCGGACCAGCACAAACTTTTACGCTATAGCTTAGTATAGCTTAGTGGCAGGGAATTCCTGTTTTTAATTTTCCTCACAGAAACGTAATTAAAAGCAAGCAATCTATTCAGTTTTTTTTTTTTTTTTTTTTGTCTAAATTTATCCCCGTAGAAAACAAATAAGGCTCCTTAGAGAAAGCCTTAAGTCTTTGTGGAGGAAAACAAATTTTTGCTCAACACCCTAAAAAAAACGTCAACTTTACATCAAGCATGGTGTTGGCTGCATTGTGCTGTGGGCATGCTTTTATTCAGCAGGGAAAGGAGGTCATTTGAAAGAAAAATAGGTAGAAGCTGCTAAAGGTGGAGATTTACAGTCCGCCAAACATTGATTCATGGGGTGGATTTGAAAGCCACATTTCAAGTTTCTTTTTTTTCTTTTTTTTATCACTTAATCATGATCTGAGAAAATGTTTTTTTTTATTTTTATTTTGATTAATCAAACATTAAATTAAAATGTCCTATTTAATAGAGTCCCAAAAAAGCAACCCTTTCTCAAAATCACTTTAAACAAATGTAAGATGAGAAGAAAGTTCAGACGATCATCTGTGAATGTTTGAGATAAAATACACCAATCAAAGTTTGGTGTCTGTCACATTAAACCCCAGTAGAATCTGCTGATGTTTCTGTTCGTACGACGAAAAAAAGAAACTTCTCAATCAATACTTTATTCATAAAGACATTGTGTGTTTATGTGCTAGACTAATTTGCTGTTCTTTTCCCCAGATTACTGAGCTGCTGTATAAAGACGAGCGCTTCTCAGCTGGAAACTCCAACCCCTCTGGTGAGAAAACCCTTTAATATGCAGACACCATCCTCATTTGTAGCTTATATATGTTCTGTTATTCTTTGACTTCTAGAATTTCTACATTTTTGCGTAGGTGAGAAGGATCGAAGCAGCTTTCCTGTGTGTCTGCAGCAGCTGCGTCGTATCAGTACAGAAACTGTCAGGTTGCACAGACGACCTCCTGCATGTAGTAGATGATAAAATGTCTGTTTACATCCAGGCTCTGTAGCAGTAAGCTCATGCTCGGCCCACTTCTCCTCATGGAGCCGTCTGTACGTTTTGGTCCATTATGGGTTTGTGTGTTTGTCAGCATGTTGATGAAGAACCTGCTACTCGCAGAAACAGAGCCTGGCTGCTGACGCAGCACCAACTCCGAGTGTGTATGCGAGTCAGGAGAGTCTCCAGTGCAGAAGCTGGTGTGTGCGCGCCAGTGGAAGCGATGGAGACTGTTATCCGTGTCACTTCCAGTTAGACTACATCTGCGTGTGTGCATAAGCGTTGGCGGTAGGAGGAAGCTGTCACAGCGAAGCCCCCGTACGTTCACTCAAACCACAGAGAGAAAGCAGCTTCTGTCAGCAGAAATGACACAACCTCACACTCTGCAGAGGTTACAGAAAAATAGTATGAATGCACAAATGGACAGTGTGACTGACACTGTGGCAAATGAAATTTATTTCCCAAGATGACTGCTCACAGTGTGTATTCTTGTGTGTTTTCTGTGCAGAGGCCACAGCATACTTCCTTTACAACCTGTTCGACAGCATGTCAGAGGTGCAGGTCCAGGCGCAGGAAGATAAACTGAGAAGCTTCTTCAATCAGCTACAGACTCGGGTACAAACTACAGATGTTCATGTTTTATTAAAAGATGTGAGGTCAACTGAGTTTTCCACTAGAAAGGATCCTTTTATTTAGTTTTTTATTTGATTAAGGCTTTTAGTAGCTGCTTTTATTCATATATTTAGTTTGGATGTAAAAAATAAAAAGTCTAAAAGCAGAAAAAAAATCTAAATTTATTGTTAAATGTTTGAAAACAAGAAGTGAGTTTTGTTATTTATTAAATATAAACAAAAGTTGTAAAGCCAGTGAATCTACACAGCTCTGAATAAACTGCTATTTGCTTTCTGTCCAGCTTCACCATCATATTTAATTTGCTGATTGTTTTATAGAAAAATATAAGAAAAAACGCATGCCAGACTGAGGAATGGCTTTAAACTAATAGTTCATCCCAGTGGTAAGATTTAAAAAGGAAAATGGTTTACATTTTTATGATTTGCAAAATATAGGTAGGTCTTGCACCAGACGCCACCATTCCCTGTCCACATTGCCCAAGACTATTCCGTGCACAGATTGGCCTGATCAGCCACCTGCGTACTCATAGACTCTTAACTTCCCCAACCATTGGATGAATAGATGGTCCTCGTCGTATCGACGGACAAACAAGAGGTCACTGACCACCAGAAACAAACCTGAATATCACTTCATTATCATAACAGCTAAAAAAAAAAAGAAACATTCATAGTCAAGACGCACCAGTCAAACGCTTTCTGACAGATATGTTTCTTTTTTTCTAATTTGATTCCCTGTTTCACCTAAAGCTGATATGCAGATTAAACTCAGCAATTACATATAACTGCATACAGTACATACAGAGATGGCCAAAGTACTCACTTTCC